AAGAGGTTTGCTTTATGTCAGCAATAATGAGAATGAAGAAAGCATGAGATGCAAATATTCTAGAAGGCAAGACCTTCTAGGTGGCACTCCTGTCAAGGTAAATCGACACTGTGTGCTATTAATCTCAACAACCACTGTCACTCACAGCTTTGTGATTTCATGGATAATTAGGCCAATTCACTGTTTTGAGTCTCCTTAAATACATTAGTGGGATTCTTCTAGCTGCTGCAGCTTGCCAGCTCTTTCTGCTCAAACCGTTTCAGTTCTCTCTGGTGTATGTAAATTTACACTGAACATATAGTCATAAATTATAGCAGGATTGTTCAGGCATCTGAGAATACATCCAGCTAAGATGAGGTCAACAACCTTGCAGGTAAACCAAACCCTCACACTTTAAGAGGGCAAATGACACAACTGAAAACTCTGTAGAAAGCAGCACTATGGCTTCATTGTTGTATTTGATGGTAATTTTTATCTCTATATATTGAAAATACAACTAATTTTCTAAAAGTTAACCATTAAGAAGGTACTGTGAAATAAATATTATGAAATGCCTCGAGATATCTTATTAAAGCCCTGAGGCAAATTTATTCTGTATTTGGATTGTACTGCCATAACTGATTTCTATTTCTTAACTTGTTAGGCAATCAGAGGGAGAAGCTCATCTCCAGTGTCATCAAAGAAGATTACGTTTGAGAGCTTTGTTCAGTTAATTATCAGCACAGCTTTGCATTCATTTCCTCGTAACATAAAGGGCTGATGTTTATTTCCTAACAAGCTAATACCTGACTGTGATGGTAGCACGAAGAACACCCTTCAATAGCAAGTATGATTTCCCAGGGAGAAGCACTGACAAACCTAGAGCTTCTGCCTCATGTGCCAGTGCTGTGGTAAGAGAGCTATTCAGCCCCTCTGCCTTGGCCCAGACTGTAAATGCCCTTGCACAATTTTACAATGTACCACAGTTGCCCTGTCACGGTACTATGAGAGGTAAACTGGTCGATTGCCATTGTTCCTTGTGAAGACTACAACTGCTGCTTATCGCAGCCTACTCCTAAATGCTCAGAGCTGCATTACGCCAGTATGACATATATTATTTATTAGCTAATACACTGTTGTTCTGAGTCTCTTGCTGGTGCCAGCCGTGATGCTACTGACTACTCTTTATAGTTATCCATAGGAGGATTAGGACACATAGAAGCCAGACACCTAAGTCACAGTGCTCTACCATTACGGCTAAATATAGATTTCCTGCATTAGAAACAAACAAATTAAAAACTCCACTAATTTTAGTGGCCTAAGACTTTTTCATAGCTGTTTCCATATTGTTCATGGGATCACAATAATCCAAGAAGTACATTCAAAATAATATTCTTTATTTGCTGATTATTCAGTTATTATCATCATACTTTCATGCTGGTGAACAAGAAGTAGTCTAAAAAAATTCATCCTCAGTTTGCTGCAGGCCCTGGAACACAGCAATGTATGGCACAGTAAACAAGTGAAATTTCGGGAGTACGCCAATGTGCGACTTGCACTGAAATTTCTGCATGTGCTGTAACAAGCACTGGGAAGGACAAAAAGCAGAGTAGCCTTTGCAGTCCTTCTATCTTTTATGAAGAATACAGGTGGTTTTAAGATTAATAGATTTTAAATATCTTGGCTGATGCATATTATGTCTAAGGCTTTTACAGTATTTAGTGGTCTGGGAAGTTATACTGGGACTAACTTTGTACCAATAGCTAACCAAGATAAGAAAATTCCAAGTTCTGGTCAATAAAAAAATTGAGTTGTTAAGCTTTGCTGTTCAGTTTTTATATCTAGTCATACATATGCATTTTACTTAAGACTGAATTTGAGCATGCTGAGCTATGTATCTATTATAGCATGCAATACGATCCCTCTAATTGCATAATACTGAAGAAAAAATTCAAAATAATGAAATTCTTTCCATATCCTTTCCATATAGCCAGAGAATTATAGATAAACAAACATAGGAAGCTATGGAATTGCACAAAAAAATCTACATTTACAATAGGATAAAATCTAATATATAATGTCCAAGGCAATTTATTTTCACAGCATCCCATAGAACACTGTTGCACATCTTGAAAGATCTCCACAATTAGAAATTGGAAAGTTTATTTTGGTTTCAAGTTAATATTCTTGTTACCAACTAGACACTCATTTCTACCTTCTAAATGTGAGTTAAGAGAACATGTCCCAAAGATTTAAAAGATATAAAATCAAAGAAATCAAATACCCAGTGCCACAACCTCAGAAATAACGACAATAAAAAGGTGCCAGCTACTGATGGGAAATCAAAAGTATTTTTCTTAGGGTGCTCATATCCCGATGAGAGTAGAAACAGCCCAACTCAACGAAGTAAACAACAGCCTGTTTTTTATCATGCATCCATGTTTATAATATTCAGACACCTATTTAGGTAAAAGAACCTTATTCCTAAAAATGAAAAAAAATTCCTATAAAAATACAAGAGAAAAACGGAAAGTTGCCTCCTTTCAGAGGCAATTGTTACTTAACTTCATCAGCTGTGAGCACTGGTGGGTCAGAAAGCATTATGCAATAACATGACGAGTTAATAGAAGTGACTACTGAAAACATTAAAAAACTCATTTTTCAAATGCATGTATGTCTACTCTGATGAAGCTGAAGTGGCTTGCAACTTTAAGTGCTTCCCTTTCTGGCTCCCAGCTCAGCTTGTCGGGAGCAGCAGGTCTGTACTCTGGTAGAGCAGACACCTTCAGAGGGGTCTGCAGTGGAATTCCCACTGCACTACGTACTCCCAGTCACTGCCCCCTTCATCAGGTATCTCAGCTCATGTTCCTCTAAGCCACGCAGAATTGCGAACACAGACCCTCCCCAACATGCTGTTTATATGAGAATAACAGACAGAGTAAAATATTGACTGAAATGTCCTCCAGCAGGTAGCTTTAAATACAATAGCACAATGGAAAATATTTTACCTGCGCATGTAGTTACATGAAGCTCATGGAAGCCACGCAAGATCAAGATTTTCTTTTAAAAGTGACAGCGGCAAGCTTTTTTGGCAAAATCCCAAATGTTGGCAAGAAAGCTATTGCAAATCTCGACCCCTCGCCTTGCTTTGAATGGTAAGCCAGAATTTGCCAATTAACTTTCACTTAGAAAAAAAAAAAAAGGCTGAGCATGAATAAATATGTCATCATTACTGCAATGGGACATTTCAAAATGCTGAAGCGAATGGAAAAGCTCAGATGCTGCTCCAAACAGCACTATTCCCTCATCTTGAGCTGAAGATGTTTTACTGTCTGCATATATCTGAATGAGGCCAACCTGCTGAGCCCCAGTGACAGCGTCCAGCTGAGAAAGAAGGAGGCAAAAGCAATTCAAATGCTTTGGTGAGAGCTGCCTGCAGAAGCATAATTTGAAAACAGAAAAAAATTGTAACAAGCCAACTGCAAGTTCCATTAAGGCTGAGTGAAGAGACAGTTTATCAGATGTCGTTTGAATGGAGAGACAAAAGTGTTAAGAACCAGAAACAAACTTTTTTGTTTGTACTGCACCTCATCTCTCTGGGAAATACTTCCAGAGCTTTGCTAGCACATCTCCGTGATCGGAGAGCAAACAAATCTCACAAGGGGCATGTACTCACTGCCCCTGCTCCCCTGACAGTTTCTACTAAAACTCTCTGGGAGGACGATTGTGCCCTAGGCTTGTTAGGATGTTTAGTTTCACAGACTTTGCCCAGACTCTAAGGCTTGGTGCTATCTCTGCATTAACTTGGACAGACTTGCCAGTTGAGCAGACTTGAAGTCTAAGCGTCTTTAAAGCAAAACATCACCAGACAGGCTTTTCTCCCTCTCAAGCCTGCCCAGTCTCACTGCTATTCTTCCTCTCCTAAACCAATCCTGGCAGCTTCTCAGAGCTACAGGATGGGGTCACTGAAATCCTTTCCTTAGGTGTCCTTTTGATAGCAAGGTCTTGATGACTCTGTATTTGCCAAGGAATGCTGTCTCCACCTGATGCTATGGACGCTTCCCTTTTTACACAAACATTGACAAAGTGACAATTTTGGCAGTGATGCTAGAGACAGTCTTATCTGCAATGAATTCAAATATCCAAGAAACTGCAAATATACTTCCTATTTGTATCTTAATCATTATGTAACTTGAATTGAATTAAGTCCAAACCCTACTATAAATATGGACAGTACATACATAGGGTATAAACAAAGGTCTAGCTTCCCCCAGGCAGTGAAATTCTGATAGAAGAAACACACTGAACGGTTTGTAGAAAGCACGCAGCCAGTGAACATGCCTGTTCATAAACACATTTAGGTTTCTAAATCCAGGGGACTATCAGCATGCTACATACCTACAGAAAGCCTATATGACTATTTTTTAGATTACCACAACGCTACACGTATTTTCCTTGATAGAGGGGATTTTTCAGTCCCTGGGTAGATGGGGTAATTCCAACGACAGCTACCGAGAACGCTGAGGTTTTGTATCATCAGGTTTCCACAAGCGCTATTAGAGCGTCGGAAACAAATGATGAGCCTTTCTCTGTAGAGCTCACCCACGGAAGGAGGTAGAATACTACGAAATGTCATTCCCCCCACTCCCTTTAGCAGCTCTGATGGAACAAAAATACAAGCCACGGTTTCCAAAGCGCTCCAGCGTGAGGGGTTGCATTCTCCTCCCTCAGACCGATCCAGGCAGCCGGGGAGGACACCCCGTGTCCGTCCCGCCCCGCCGAGCATTCCCCCTCCCCAGGGGCGCTCCCCGCCGCGCCCGGGGCACCCCCGGGCTCCCCACGGGAGAGCGGCGCTCCCGTCCGGCCCGGGCGCCTCGCAGCCCACCGGCGGCCAGCCGGCAGTTCTCGCCTCCCTCCACAGTCCCATCAGCGCGGGAGGCGTGGATGACTCGGGCTCTAAAATAAATACAAATAAAACCAAAAGGCAGCCCTCGGCGGAGGAGGGATGCCCTCCCGCTTACCTTGCTCGGCGGGCGCCCGGGGCGCCGCCGGGGGCTGCAGGAGGGATTCCCCGGCGCTGGCAGGGGCTGCTCAGGCTTCCCCGGGCACTGCGTGGCCGCCAAAGCCACGGAGAGAGATTTGTTTTGGTCGCCTCTTCCCGGGGAGGGCTTTCCTCTACATTCCCAGCTCCACATCACCGCCCCCCCCGGCACGGAGAGGACTGGGGGTGGGAGAAGCACGGCGAAGGCATCTATCTTCCCTCCTACCCGCCGAGATGAAAAGCCGGCGGAGCAGCCGCGCGGCGAGCGGGCCGGGGCGGGCGGAGGGGCTGACCGAGGAGGGGATAAGAGCCGAGCCCGCGCTGCCCTCGCCCCGCGGTAATCCCCGGCTGCATGCGAGCCGCCGGCTGCCGGCGCGGCCGCCCGTGTCTGCGGCTGTGCGGGCGGCGGCGGCGGCGGCGGGCGGCGGGGCGGGGGCACGGCCGCTCCCGGCCGGGAGCGGCCGTGCCCCCGCCCGGCCGCCCGCCCCGCGCCCGCCTGTCCTGGCGGAGGGTGCGCTCACACACGCACAAAACACACAGCGCACACACACTGACGGCCCACCCTAGGCAGGGGATTCCCCCGTCAGACAAGGGTGCAGTCGCGTTAACGTTCCTGTGTGTGTGTGTGGGGGGGGATGCGCACACACTCAAGACCTCCCCGCACACCTCCCCTCCCTCCCAGATGGGAAGTGTGCATGCACGAACACACACGCACACACACTTCCATATACTGTCCTCTGCCACACGCATAACGCGCACCGCATCTTCTGCTGGTCCGTGGTACACCTGCGGGACCCCTCCCTTCTTTTCCTGTCCCCAGAGCGGGAAGGGCACAGGTACACAGCGCAGGACACAGCACTGTCCCCGCAGGACACAGTCTGCCGACCTGGCAGCCCCGGCCCAGCCCCACAGTTGGCATGCGGAGGGCCTGCCGAGGGCCACAGCAGAAGTGCAGTGCCTGGGGAGTCAGTCGTCCACCTGGGGTGTGGACTCATGCACTTTTGTCATCAAGTCTTGACAGAGTATCAGGCTGTGATCAAGACTTAGCTACTTCTGCTGCCTCCCATAGGGTTTAATAGTTCTTCTTTATTGCTTTTTAATGGGAAGTCTGTGATCATTCCTGACAATGGGAGGAAGTCTCTCTCCGTCATTCAGTGATGCCCCTCTATATATTAGGTATCAAGTTAGAAAGCTATTCTCCTTTTCAAGCTCTCCTTTGTTTCTTGGTTTTCATAGTAGTTCCTCTGCAGCTTTGCCTTCTGAACTGTGTTGCTCAAGCTTCATTTTATCCTATGGCTCTGAGATTCTGCCTTCAGTGTTGCACATTTCACAGCTGGGATGAAGGTTTTCAAAAAAATGTTTGTTTGGGGGTTTTGTTTGTTTGTTTGTTTTGTGGGGGTTTTGTTTGGTTTTTGTTTTTTGTTTTTTTAATGCAAAGACCTCCTAATTCTTTTGAAAGCCACCCAAGAAAGAGATTGGGCAGTATTTGCCACCATGGTTTCAATTACAACCCATTAAAAATTAGCTTAAACTTCGAATGCTTGTTTATTGTGTCAAATTTCACCCATTTTATGTACTTCCTTGCCCATTGGCTTGGGAACATAGAGATGTATGAGTTCAACCATCTTCTCTTGGCCTACCTTCAGAAGTTTTCTGAATGGCTACCACAGTAGTGGAAGTCCTAAGCAGTGCTGAATTCAAGGTTAGTTTTCCATGGAAAGCTCCAGCAAAATGCTCTTTGCCTGAAATCTGGGCGTCTGTGGCATAGACATCCATGCTTATGCTACTCAGCTTAGCCTACCCTTATGGTCAATCAGGGAAATTCTCTTCTGTATCTTATATGTGATAAAAGAAGCTCCATAGCAACCCATTCCTCTCCTCAGCTACTCCCCAACTGAAATGTAGGCATCTATGTATTTTATACATTCCACCCCTCGTGTGTACATGTGTCTACGTGCCTCATCCCTGGTTTTTGAATGCACTGATCAGTTGAAGCTGAATGTGAGAGGTAGGCAAAACTCTCAAAGACAATTAAATTCTAACAAGTTTAAGAAAAAGAAGGTAGTTGGGTGAAGGGGCTTGCTGCATATCCCCTTGTGCCCAGAGCATGGCAAGGGTGGCACTAGGAGTTTATATGTTGTGACATACTTCAAAATTTCCATGTATATGTCACACCAGTGAGAAAAGTTCAACTGCAGCTTGTGTCTTCTTAACCACTGCAGCCATTGAAGCCCATAAGACTGTAGGAAATTGGAGTTTATTCCTTCATATTCTCATTAAATAGTACGGTCTGAGGAGCTGCAGTTTTCCTCTTCTGCTTTTCATCATACAGTGAGTGGTTTTGAAGCAGACCATGTTTTCTTGAGATTTTAATATTTGATTTTTCAGGATTTTTGATAAAGGGAAACCATCTCATCTCCCTCTCATATACACACAGCCAGACACTAATGGGACTTGCTTATTGGGAAAACTGACAGAAAGAGCAGTCGATAGGTGGGTTCCCACAGCTTTTCAGCTACACTGATGTGCATGCTGTGTAAACACTGCTCTAGCATAAGCAATTGTTCTGCTTTCAAAAAGGAGAATTATTCTGGAATAAAAAAATCTTCACTGTGCTAGTAAATCCACAGTAAAAGTAACTTTATTCTGGGAAATTGTTTTTGCACATAGAGATACATGATGATAACTAGATAAGTGTTTATATCACTAGATCTATGTTACTCAATATTCCTTCATAAACAAATACTAACTGGTTTTGGTTTGCTCCTTTTCTAGGCATGGGGCTTTTGTATTCATGAACATCCATCTTGTGCTCTTACACCAGCATTTTAGAAATCGGAGGGAAGCCTTCGTGGTTTCTATATTTACCAGAAATAAAATGTAAAATGTATGGCTATGCTGATGACCAGTGTCTTGCAGACTGTGTGGGAAAGATTTCCTTCAGAGGAGTTTTGTTTCAGCTGATCAGATAAGGGGAAGAAAGAAACAGCTTGAATGAAAGAGAAATCTCTTTCCTACCCAGCTTTCTGCTGCAGGATTTTTCTCCCTCATTACAGTGATGTTCTTCAGAGCACCTTTCATCCATCAAGACCATCCTCATGAACATGCTGGACCTCTTCCCTCTCACTTAAAGCCTGATTTGCATAGACGAGCTCATTAGGTCTCTGTGAAGCAGTGCTTCCCAAATGCCTCCCTGGAGTGAGAGAAGGTGGGTAGAGGAATGCATGGATGGAAGAAAATGGCAAACTGTTGGAAAGGTATAGTTAAATCTTGATATGAGCAGGAGGATCATTCAAAATCACAGTGTAACTGTTGTCAAAAATAATTGTCTTCTCCATTGCTGGACCATTTTTACCACATCAGTGAACTCATGTGACCCACACATTTGCTTCCTTTTGAAGAAAGAAAAGTGGGTTTGTGTTTCACAGGTCCTGAAGGCACTAGCAGGGCTGCTGGCCCTACCCAACCTCCCCTGGAGACTCCCATAACCCCTGCTTATGGCCCAGGAGTCCATTTCAGCTCAACCCAGGGCTTTCAGTCCCTGCCCCAGCAACACTAGAGACATTCTCCTGTGGAGAAGGGAATGATTCTCTTACAGACTGGTTTAATGGCTATTCATCACTTTACAATAAGCACCAGAAACAGGAGGACTGCTGTAATCAGCATCAAAGTTGTCCTGTCTAAATAAATAGTTGATCATTTTCCTGAGTGTAATCATCTTAGTTATAACATCAGACAGTTTTGAAATGTATCCTAATTTCCAAGCGATGAGTCTAACAAAGCACAAAGAGAAGAAGGTTCAGTTCTAGGAGAAGAGTGAACCCCATCCCAGCGCCCTTTCTATCACCCAAGACCTGCAGATAAAACCAAGTCAAACAAATGCAGCTTCTTGGGCAAGTCTAATATTCTCTTAAAATAAATCACATTGGAAATAGCATCTGGCAATAGCATAGCCCATCACAATTTCAGACCAAGTCTGGTCTGGATTAAGAACTTCCTGAATATTGGAACAGCTTTCCGTGCTTCCTAATGAGTGGTTTGGGGTTTGTTTTGCTTTTTCCCCTCCTTCTATTTTTCAGGTTTGGATTTCCTTGTATCGTATTTCTACAACTCAGAATAATGTGTTTTCTATTCTTGTTGCCACAGATCAGGTTCCAACACACTTTTCCCACATCTTGGGTTCTAGAGGGGCTCCTGGAAGTGTTGTAACAGGATGCAGTGGGACAGCAATCTCACTAATGTTTAAAGGCTATCTTGTGGACACATCTAGGGATCATACGCTGCTGCATGCAGGGACAAAAGTGACAGCTTTTCCATCTCTAGTGCATTAAGTGGAAACTTATAGAGCTGGGTATCACAAAACCAGCGATAGAGCTGAGCAAGAGCATAGACCGGAAGGACAGATCATGGGCAGTATGCCATTGTCAAGTTAGCCACAACTTGGATGGGTTTTGAGGGCTGGTTTTTGTCTGTTTATAAAAGTTGTTTCATTGTTCCTTTCTTCTCTGGGTGGAAATTCATTATTTTTTTTATTCTGGACTAACCTGCACAAGAAAATAGTAATTGGCATCAGGGTTAAAATCAGTTGTAGACATGACATAACACAGGCAGAAATCAAACTTGAAGTAAACAAAGGCATATCATTATGATCACAGTTGAATTGTTAGAGTTACAGTTAGAGTTATACAAACTGACTTATTTCAGATTTGGACATCTTCTCATATGCAGAAGTCAAATAGATCAGATTGGGTGGGGTTTTATGTCAAGCAAATAGAATGCCTGCTGAGTGGGTCCTCCTGGAGCTTCAGCCAGCAACATTTGGATAAAGAGCTCTCCTTTGTGCAACATAAGATAGTGATGATTTCCACAAACTCAAAAGTCTTTTTTTAACCTTCTGGAGTAGTTTATTCTAGCTTGCATTTTGATTTTTTAAATAAAATAATATTTTGTAATGTAATCTTCATATTTTTTTTTTTTTTTAGCATGAGCTGAATGCTAATTCTCTCTGACAATTAAAATATTATCTAGTATTATTCACAGAATCTGTGAATAATATCTTTAAACTGAGATCCCTTATTTTGGCCCTATGCCTGATCACAACCTGAGAAATGATTAAGCTTTGCTCACGGGTCTCAGGGATGATGTACCCCAAGTTTAAACTTGCTCTACTATCACTTTCTAGAGGCTGCAGTGGCATGGTCCAAGTTTTTGACAATTGAGCAGTCTATACAACCCAATCCTGTCACTCCAAAGACCTGGTATTTCCTGATTATATTATATAGGCAGAGCTGGGGGGTGCTTGTAGCCAAAGGT